ATATGTTTTTTTTTTTTTTTTTAATCTGTAATTTACATTTGCGCAGTTAATGCGGTTTCTCTAAAGAGGTAAATTTATGTCATCTTTCTTAGACTACGAATTTATGTACTCCTGAAAAATAGAATAAACAGTAATTTTCACACCCGCGGATATTGACAGGGAATCAGTTCATGTGTGCAGCCATGCATAGTGATTATTTTGACGGCCTATTCCCAACTTAATGAAAAATTCAAAACCCACAGGAGACTTATGCTAGAGATGACCAGCTAAGAGTAAATCGTTTATGTCACGCGTGCAATTCGATGTTTCGAAAAGTTCCCCTTACTCAGTTTACTCAAGTAATTGCAAACAAGCTGATTGTTTGCTTTGAATCGGCATCTGTTTTATATTTATGTATTTATATGTATATATATCATCATTTCTTGAGGCCTATTTATGTATAGATGTATTTATATAAATATTTAAACGCAAATAAGGCAAAATGAAAACTGTTTGAATGATTACGTAAAAAAGTACTTGCAAGGTCGTTATCATTAACAGGTTGCTTGCTAAATTTCAACAACTCCCACTGAACGGTTACATAGTTACATATTTTTTAAAGTGCGACAAGACTTCTAGAACGGACTATAGTTCCGTTTTTATGATCCTTGTTATCCCGGTGGATTAATCACTGAGTGGACAAAACTTTTGGGTATGAGACTTCTTATAATTACGCGAATACTTATAAGCGACGTCCAGTAATGATTACAGCACCCCTGTACTCATCCAGATGTATTTTTCTTGTCTTGTACCCTTCTTTAAAAAAAAAAAAACAACTCAACAACGGAAAATGCCCGTCCAAAATTTTCAATACGTGTTTAGTTTATTTTAGGAAGTTGTAATACTTTTCCATGTGTATGTTTTTATTTGTTTTTGTGATATTGTTTAGTCACTGATAAATGGTTTAAACAACCAGCTGTATCACGGTTTATAGTTTAATTCCAGTGGGCAGCTAGGTATGTATTCACATAGATAGATATAAACATACACACACACACTTGCATACCTGCCTATCTACCTACCTGCATACATACAGGCAGATAGACAGCCCATCAGACTATCAGATAAACCATCAGACAATCAGCTAGACCATCAGACTATCAGATAAACCATCAGACAATCAGCTAGACCATCAGACTATCAGATAAACCATCAGACAATCAGCTAGACCATCAGACTATCAGATAGACAATCAGACAGAGACGCATTAGGACAATGAGACCACCAAACATACATACAAACTATCAGAGACAACATCAGACAGACTTACTGTTAGGCATACATGTTTCAAACTATGGAAGAGGCGCAATGATAAAGTAAAACCAGCTTAGCTCTAACCCCCCCCCCCCTCCTCCTTCCCCCACCCCTCCCTACCTTTTCCCACTCTACCATACCCAGTAAGCTGTTAAGAGGCCCGGTTTAACCATGTAGAGAAATTATCTTCAAAGTTATGTGTTTATACATCTGATATTATTAAAGTATATTATTTTTAGTTGCTTTTCAACACACTATTATTATTATTATTATTATTATTATTATTATTATTATTATTATTATTATTATTATTATTATTATTATTATTATTATTATTATTATTATTATTGATGTATTGACGAGTAAACATATTTAATCTTCTTCTTTTTCTTCGCCTTCGCTGGCTGTAAACTCCTTCGGAAAAGTTCTGGTTGTTCGTCCACTTTTGGACTCTAGTCCTGTTCCAGAAACTGAGTGTTGCGTGTATAACTGTTTCACAGGTTTGAGTTATTTGCATGCAGACTGTTGGTTCCTTGCCTCTCAGGCAGAGCTACTCAGCCTTCGAAGGGAAAAAAAGGATTTTATAATTTACATGAAATATGAAATATATAAACGAATTGTGTTAAAGATCATTTCTATACATGAATAAAGGGGGCGTCTAAAGTCTCCTCACAGTATTACTAGTTACCACCTCCCCCCCCCCCCTAGCCCAAACACCCCCCAAAGTTGCGGCCCCAAGTGTGTTGAACTCCCAGGTACTGTGTGGGGAGGAAGTTTATACCTACAGCACATTTCCTGAACGAGATCATCGGGCTCCGTTCGACGGCAGGTGTTTCCACTCTGAGAGCACTTCACGCTTGAAGTTGACTTGAATGGCCCGCGGCATACGGAAAGATAGAATATCACAGCGATGAGCGGAGAGCTGTTCTTTCGCTAGTTCAGGATTTGAGCCATCTGTTGGACAGAAGGGGATCCGCCCGCGACTTTGCACTGCTGTACATGTTTTTTTTTTTTTTCATGTGTAGTATTGTAGTCAGGTAAGAAATTATTGCAGTTGTTTGCAAGGCATTATCAGGTTTTGAAAGGCCTGAATAAAATAGCATCATCATTATCATGTAGCTGGTCCTTTGCAGAACGTGGCTCTCATCACGGTTTGCCTGAAAGAAACTCGGTCTCTCGCCTGAGTACTTTCATAGAGTCACTTATATTCTGTGCCCATCTTTGTGTCGGTCGGCCCCTGCCTCTCCTTCTAGTACTATGCCTTCTGCTATTATTTTTTTCCAATTTGTCGTTGCTCTTGATCTGACCAAAATATTTTAGCTTCCAAGACGGGGTGCTGCTTATTAGCCAATCTTCCTTGATGTTCAGATCTTTCAATATGTCATTATTTCTTTTTTTATTTGTCGAAACAAAATATAACAAGTTTAAATTGTATAGTTTTAAAATCAATTAACACATTTTCAGTTATAATTTTTTTTTAAAGTTGTAACCTATACCACTGATAGTTGGGGGGCCAACAGAAAACACGGGGAATAGTTTAAATGCATTGAAGATAAATACCTAAGGAAAATGTTAAATATAACATGGAATGAATTCGAGAGGTGTGAAGAAAAAAGATAAATCTTTTGGCAACCACTGTTAGCAACAACTGTACAACAGAGAAGACGACACTGTACTTGACACATCAATGGGAGAATCACGCATAGAATCATCACACATGCACTAACATGGGAAATACAAAGATAGAGGAAGCGATGACGCCCAGAAGAACCATAAAACAAACGTTGATAAGAGAGGCCAAAACGTTCTATGCTGGATTCCATCAAATGGATAGCACACGAGAGAATGAAATGGAGGATTAAGCGGCGAGCCCATTGTAAAATATACTAGCTCAGCAGGAACTGATGGTGAATGATGATGGTATTGTTTTTACACTGGAAGGAATCATCGTTGTCCATATTCTAGGAATTTCTTTACAAGAAATATAGTCTTTAAGATCTCTAGATCATCTCTGTGCAGTGATTTAGTTTACATACGTCTTTTCGCTTTTGGTAATGTAGTGATATAGTTAGTCATGACTGACTGGACTTTCTACCCCACCAGGACATCACACAAGCGATAAACACCCGATGACACAATGTGCCACCATGTGGGTGAGGATCACCGTGGAGAGGTCCCAGAAATCGCGTTCAGCCATTAGGCCATATTTATGGCCAGGCTATTTTGCGGCCCCTGGCAAGAGCCAGAGTAGGGCTTCAAATAACGAAACACTTTATCCTAAAAAAAGACGGGAAACAATGAGTATTGAGTCAGTCATACTGCAGTACAATACTAACTGCATTTCAGAACGTCAACCTATTTTGCGTTTCAAAATTATACACACGCAAAAATTATAACAATTTTTTTAAACTGCTAGTTATATTTTGCCTACCCCAACTGTGTCTCCATGTGCAAAGTCCTAGGTATATCTTTCAGCAGCCACTTGTCAAGACCGTTGTTGACTTTTGTGTCTGTTTTAATTAGGCATTCAATAAAAAGTTAGTTGCGTATCCTTTACAGGACGTTGCAGAACCAACCCTAACAGCCCCTGGCTGTTGTGTGGTTTCTCTAGGCAAGTTACATCCAGTAGTTTGCCATTGCTTACTGGACGGTCGGCTTTCTTGATACCACTGTCGAAACCAACGTAAGGCGCATTGCCCGCAGCTGGGATCGAACCTGGCACCCCGGCATTACTAAGCGAAGCGTTCGCATCGACTTAGCCACAGAGCCGACAGGCATTCAATACGTAATTAAAAAAAGAACTGTAAAAACCCTTTAGAGACATTGCTACATCTGGTATTTGGCACTAGACCAGTGGTCGGCAAATCACGGCCCTTAAGTGACCTGAGTTTAGCTCGGCCAGTCGGCCACTAATCGGTTTTGACTCAAAAAAAAAAAAAAATGTTTTCGACGGGTTTTTTAAAATAAATTTGGTTCTCAAAATAATGTTAATCGTCCGGGTGTTGATTTTTGTCTCGGTTGACTAATCTTCTTCTTCTTTGTTCACCGGCTGTAAATCCCGGCGGAAGGTCGATGTTGATCATCAGCTTGAACTTTTGGCTTTTACCTGGACCTGAGTTTTGCGTGTACAACCGTTTTACTGGCTTTTGCCGTTCCCTCACGGGCAGTTGTACTCCGACTTCGAGGGAAAGGTTGACTAATGATTTTGCCGACCACTGTACTAGATCTATGTGTTGTTTTTTTTTTTAAACCAGTCGACACGCGGGAGGTGATGGGTCAACTTTACAAGGCCATCTTCATTTCCTATGGCGTGATGACGCCCAGTGTACCTGGACAGACCTCAGTATTTGTTCGAACCAATGATTTTCTGACCTTCCAACAAGCGTGAGCTAATACCGTCGGTATTTTGTCCACTGAATTCCCTGACCTGCTTAATCTGATTGAATAATGGGCAGTGTTATCTCTTTACTGATTTACGTGTTGTTGTTGTTGTGTTTTATACATTTTTTTTTTTTAATTTGATTTTCAGGCGTTATGAATCTGTCCATACCCAAGTGATTAACTACTAGGGCTCTTTCTAACGGAGAGTAAGGACGAAGAGACAGACTGGAAGACTGAGAAGCAGAACAAAGAAGGCAAGTTCATCTGTTGATAATCAACGTTCCGTAGTGAACAGGCGTGGTCGATCACGGTATCTGCAAGGCATCATGCAGATAAGAGATCACTTCAAGATGCGGAACTTTTCTCTGCAGCATTCAGACATGGAGGCATTTGTTACTTCTAAGGTGAGTAATGCTACTGTTAACGTAGTACACATCTTCAAGGTGTTGAAGGTAGGGTTAACGGCTTCATTGTTTTGAGATTACCCCCCCCCCCCTTTTCCTCTTCCCGCCCCCATATGACTGGTAAGTGTGGCAAAATGACTGACTGATCACTGGCTTAGAGCGAGAGCTAGCCGCCTGCCGGGAGCGTCGCATTAAGCACGACTACTGTAGTTTCAGCGATGATCCCCTCCATAATTCTCCAAATCTCTTGCACTCAAAAATCGAACGATGCAGCCGTGAAACAAACCTAGGACCTTCAGAGCGCAAAACAAACAGATTGCCCATTTCAACAAGGCAACCATTAAAGGTCACACAATGCACAGATGACATGAAATGGAAGTTTCTCACCTAAACTTCAAACATATTAGTTAGTTAGTTAGTTAGTTAGTTAGTTAGTTAGTTAGTTACCTAGTTAGTTAGTTAGTTAGTTAGTTAGTTAGTTAGTTAGTTAGTTAGTTAGTTAGTTAGTTAGTTAGTTAGTTAGTTAGTTAGTTAGTTAGTTAGTTAGTTAGTAGTTAGTTAGTTAGTTAGTTAGTTAGTTAGTTAGTTAGTTAGTTAGTTAGTTAGTTAGTTAGTTAGTTAGTTAGTTAGTTAGTTAGTTAGTTAGTTAGTTAGTTTAGTTAGTTAGTTAGTTAGTTAGTTAGTTAGTTAGTTAGTTAGTTATTTAGTTATTTAGTTAGTTAGTTAGTTAGTTAGTTAGTTAGTTAGTTAGTTAGTTATTTAGTTAGTTAGTTAGTTAGTTAGTTAGTTAGTTAGTTAGTTAGTTACCTAGTTAGTTAGTTAGTTAGTTAGTTAGTTAGTTAGTTAGTTAGTTAGTTAGTTAGTTAGTTAGTTAGTTAGTTTAGTTAGTTAGTTAGTTAGTTAGTTAGTTAGTTAGTTAGTTAGTTAGTTAGTTAGTTAGTTAGTTAGTTAGTTAGTTAGTTAGTTAGTTAGTTAGTTAGTTAGTTAGTTAGTTAGTTAGTTAGTTAGTTAGTTAGTTAGTTAGTTAGTTAGTTAGTTAGTTAGTTAGTTAGTTAGTTAGTTAGTTAGTTAGTTAGTTAGTTAGTTAGTTAGTTAGCTAGCTAGTTAGTTAGTTATTTAGTTAGTAAGTTAGTCAGTTAGTCAGTTAGTTAGTCAGTTAGTTAGTTAGTTAGTTAGTTAGTTAGTTAGTTAGTTAGTTAGTTAGTTAGTTTGTTAGTTAGTTAGTTAGTTAGTTAGTTAGTTAGTTAGTTAGTTAGTTAGTTAGTTAGTTAGTTAGCTTTTTAGTTAGTCAGTTAGTTAGTTGGGTTATCATTATTGCATTCCAGACATGTCCATATGTCCTCAGATCCTCCCCTCAGTAGAAACCCCAGCGTCAGATGGCTAAAACCACGTTCTATGTTGATTATCAAGTCCTCTGATGTCCCTCTCGTTTTGTTATTGCTGTGTGTGTGTGCGGGTGCATGTGTGTGTGTGTGTGTGTGTGTGCGTGCGCGTGCGCGTGTGTGTGTGCGTTCGTTCGTGCGCCCTTCCCACTTCTCGAAGGACATTAATAATGTCAGCAAAGTCCATAGGTTTACCGTCGTTAGTGATAGATGATCCAGCCAACCTATTAGCTCTTTCATAGCTTTAAACGTATGGCATACTTAATGCATACTTTATGTCCACTGTAGCTGTACACCTCCAACACCGGTCGTGACCGTTGTCCACCTGTGATAGTAATAACAGACTTATCTACAGAGAAGCGGGTTATGCTCACAACACCGGGCACGTGTTTATCACGTGTTTAGATGTACTATATCTGTAAAAAAAAAAAAGGCTGCATTTCAGGATCGTAAACTCCAACTTGCAGGAATAGGGAATTGCAGTTAAGCTCTCTCACTCTCTCTCTCTCTCTCTCTCTCTCTCTCTCTCTCTCTCTCTCTCTCTCTCTCGCTCTCTCTCTCTTTCTCTCTCTTTCTCTCCCTCCCTCTCCCCTCTCTCACCCCACTGTTTGTCTCTCCATCTGTGTCTTCACGATCTCTTTGTTTTTTTTTTCTCTCCCACTGATTATCTATCTTCTTCCCATTATCTCTCAATTTCTCTTGTTGGCCTTCTCTTTATCTGCCTCCCCTTCTCTCTTTCTCACTTTGTGTATATCTTTCTTTCCCCTTTATGCAGTCTCCCAATTTCTGTTGGTGAAATGTCCCTGCCCCCCCCCCCCCTCCCCACCATCTGTTTCTCTTTCTCTCTCTCTTCCGTCTCTGTCCATCTTGTTTCCTTGTCTCTCTGGTGTGGGCGGTTTTCTAATATAAGAACGATAAAATTAGGATAGGAATGCAAGAGGGCGAACTGCATGCGATAATAAAGAAAATGATGACTTGGGGTGAGTTAGTTGAGTGTCCTTGTTCAACTCGCATATTCAGGGCAGATGACGAAAACGATGAAAAAGAATAAGAAAAAGAAGGAGGAGGAGGAGAAGGAGGAGCAACTGACGCGGAATAGAAGAAGTAAAGCAAAAGCAGAATGCTTGTAAATATGTGGGCTTACGGAAATGACTTTCTTTCTCTACCACAGTGCAAAGCGAGGACATCCTACCTGGCATGGCGTGTCTTTTGGGCTCTTTACCACTGCTCATGGCTTATGGGAAACATCATTATGATGTGTCTGAGTGAGGAGGTGAGCGTTGCCAAGTGGTTTATCTACCTTAGCAATTGGATGTACTTGCTACTGACTCTTGAGTGTGTCCTAGAAGCCATTATCGTGCTTGATGACTGGAACAGGAAGTCGGGAACTGTTCAAGGTATGTGTGTTTGTTAACATGTTTTCATCTGTCTGATTAAGTACAGACTCGCCATGTCTTCAGTATCCCCCCCCCCCCCACTTTTTTTCCACAGACCCCCTCATTACTACTACTGCTGCTACTGCTGTTGCTGCTTCTGATGCTACTTCTGCCTCTGTTGTTGCTATTTCTAATTTTGCTGCTCCTGCTTCTACTGTTCCTATTATTAATGCTGCTGCTGCTTCTTACTGTTCCTATTACTTATTTTGCTACTGCTCTCTACTGTTCCTATTACTAATGCTGCTGCTTCCATTGTTCCCATTACTAATTTTGTACTGCTTTTACTATTTCTATTACTAATGCTGCTTCTGCTGCTTTTGATTCTACTGCTCCTATTACTAAGGCTACTTCTGCTTCTACTGTTCCTATTACTAAAGCTGCTCCTGCTTCTACTGTTCCCTATTAACAATGCTGCTTTTGATTCTACTGTTCCTATTTTTAATGCTGCTCTGCTTCTATTGTTTACATTACTAATACTGTTGCTACTACTACTGCTTTACTACAACAGTGATAAAATGAAATAGCAATAAAAGTTTCATAATAATTTCTTCTTCTCAACAATTATCTCCGATTCCGCTAGATCCTTACCCTGTTTTTGCCTCAGTCCACGTCCTTTTTTTTTTTTATCTTCCTCGTTATCCTTCTCCTATTAACGCTTATCCCAATTATTGTTATTTCTTTTTTTTTTTCTCTTTCCAGCTCCTTCTCTTTGCTGCCGTGTTTTAATGCAACTAAGAAACAAGTCGATATCTGGCATATCTTCAATCATTTCTACATCTAGTATACGTTTGTGTGTACGTGTGTGTTCGTAATCTCTAACTGTGTGGGAAGACGTTGGGATATTACTACCCATCTAAGCACCAACCCAATTCAATTGCCCCTTTATCATTTGTGATAATACAATCTAGATATCTCTGCCATGATTCAGTCTATCTTGCATTAGGCACATTATCGATGATGCCTATTAAATACATTTTTATGGTGTTATCTGTAAGTGTGCAGTCAACTGATGAAGCCATGTTTTGCTTACTGACCGAATAAGCACCAGAATCAGAGGGTTCAGACAGCATATATATATATAACACTTTTGTCTGGAAAGACGTAAAGGTGTCAATCAAACAAATATATATATATATATGTTTTATAGTGCTCGCATTCGACATACATACATAAAAATAAATGGCTCGCAATCGATATATATATATATATATATATATATATATATGTTTTATAATTGTCTCGACCTATATTTTATAGACAACACATACTTTACTTCACAGGGCTGTAATGGTACTCGCAAACGATACAGAATTATATACAAATTATATATATATATATATATATATATATATATATATATATATATATATATATATATATATAATCAGTTCCTAAATGATGACATTAATAATATGATTAGGGAATGTGTGAGGAGGTAGGGTCCTTTTCCACTCGTAGCCTTCTATGGTCAGGCTCTCTTTCAATTGCACAATAATTGTTATTTTAGAATGGTTAGGTTTAAGTTAGTCTCCGCAAGCAAAGTAGGTCACGTTTCATTCACAAGTTTGTTGGGCTGGTCTACTTTCGTGAAGGTTATGGGTGTGCTGCTCTGTTGTTTGCTTTCTGGGTTGTCTTGTATTTACGTTTTTATTCCGAGAAACAGAATGCCTATGACATAGCTTGCAGCACTCTCTGGGGGAGGGAAGGGGTTGTGTTAGACCCATTTTGTCTATGTTTTTGGAGTGTTTAAAGCGCTGGCGTGCTGAAATATACAACACGCGATGTCAACGGCATTGCGGAACATCCCCTTAACCGTGTGCTAAGGTGACAGGTTCAGAAAATACCAATCAGAAGTGAGTTAGTGTGTATATGGGCGGTCCGAGGGGAGACTAACATTAGTTTTAACTTGTTGAACAATCAAACACGGCCTGAGCCCCCCCCCCCTTCCCACCCCCTTAGAAAATACGGTGGTGCCCCTGCTACTAACTATAATTACATACCAACCATAATCACTCGAGAGATTACCGTACTACACATTGCTACTGTAATTGGATCTAACTTCGAAAACAAATTTGAAAAGAAAAACAGTCCACTAAATAACTGTATACACCAGTGTTTCCCAAACTTTTCCTGATCGAGGCCCATTTTGGGAATACAATTTTTTTCACGGCGCCCTAATGAGTAAAAGCATGACTATTCGTGTCTTGGTTAAATTAATTATATAGCTTTTACAATATTTCCTGTGAAGAGGTGGCGGCTCCCCGGGGCACATTTTGAGAATCACTGGTATACACTTTTCTCTGAATGTAATGTCTAGGCGTGTGGAAATAAGCATTACAATCTCTTTTACCGTCTGTTAGCTATAGGTATGCTTGCGTGGAAAGCAACGATCTAGTGGCACGCAATAAATGAATCTACGATGCGCACATGCCGTGGCAACATTGCTTAACGGTCAGTCGACAATTATTTATACGTCTGCCTTTTAATTGTTTCCAAATGTGTGAACATTTCTAAGCGCTTATGAAAGTTTTTGTCTATTAGTGCCTATCCGTTCATTCATTCGTGTGGTATATTTTTCCCCTGCTTGCCCCATTTGATTTTGTTTGTATACATGTGTCAGTCTCTGTTTGTGTGTGCGTGTGTGTGTGTGCGTGTGCGTGTTTATGGTTGTTTCCTGTTGTTTACTTTGCTGCTAGCATTTGGGCTTTATTCCCTAGGTGACTTAGACTGCTATTTGGTTGTCCGTATGTGTGTATGTGACCAGTATGACTGTCCATTATAAATATATAAAAAGTCCACTTTATCGCCTTCGGGCCTATTTATCATATATTGGGTGAAACTAAAGACACCTTTCCCGCCTGCAGACGTACTGAGAATATAGTAAGTGAAGACACCTTTCCCGCCTGCAGACTTATTGAGAACATAGTAAGTACAAGTAAAGACACCTTTCCCGCCTCCAGACGAAATGAGAATGAAGTAAGTACAAGTAAAGACACCTTTCCCGCCTTCAGACGTATTGAGAATGTAGTAAGTGCAAGTAAAGACCCCTTTCCCGCCTTCAGACGTATTGAGAATATAAATGTAAAAGTAAAAACCCCTTTCCCGCCTTCAGACGTATTGAGAATATAAATGTAAAAGACACCTTTCCCGCCTTCAGACGTATTGAGAATATAGTAAGTGAAGACACCTTTCCCGCCTTCAGACGTATTGAGAATATAGTAAGTGAAGACACCTTTCCCGCCTTCAGACGTAGTGAGAATATAAATGTAAAAGTAAAGACCCCTTTCCCACCTTCAGATGAACTGAATAAAAAATGCCAGACCTGTATTTTATATATCAGTCGGCATTCAATGGCTGATGTTGTCAGCATCACGCCTGTCGCCTTTGCTTCCCAGGACTTGACCTGGTACCCCTTTGAGACTGGATCATGCTGGGAGCCAGGGTCAGTGTCTAGCCGCTTTACCAGGGCGGGTCCCTTTAAATAAGTACCATATAGTTTTTCAGGATTTTCTGGTAATTGTTTGGAAATATCAACAAATAACTATGTGCCATCTTCACAATGCATGCTGGCTACCTTAAATACACTGCTGCCTTTGGAATTATTAACAGTGAGTCCCAATCTTTTCTACGATACCACGTTGGTACCGTCCTTTGAAAAACAACCATCTAAATAACCCGCCTTCGACGAAACCGATGTTCGAGAAATTGTTAAATGCATTATCAACCTCTTAGACATGCAAAACGAAAAGGCAGCTTTAAGGAGCACGATTGGACTACAAACTTTCCCATGTGAAGGCGAAAACTCAGAGGTTCCGTACATACATTGTCAAAATAAAATTATTTCAGCTGAAGAACCACTAGAGATATCACCGTGCATGAAATTATCGCTAGCACCCCCCCCCCCCCCTTCCCCCCCAAAAAAAAAAAAAAAAAACAACAACAACAACCACAACATACACTTCAATTTTCTATGTTGCTTCCAGAGCCTTACTTTAAGGGAAGAAGAGGTTTGATGTTTTAAACAACGGATCAACATCATCATGGTAGTAGCCCATAAGTGCTCAGTTCTTCTTCTAACTCATGTCTGAGACCAAAGAACTCATTATAGTGTACATGCTCTGTAGCACCGTCGAGAATCCTGAAATACCTTTTAGTAGATTTTTTACTCCGAATTTTCGCCCAAGCAGCGCCATTAGGCTACGTGCAACAATGCACACGGGCGTCTGGTTTCACTACCCAGAGACAAGGGGGAATTACTAGAAGTCTAAGTCCACGTGAAAAAATCCCAGCCCTTACCGGGGATTGAACACGGAACCTTTAACACTCGAGAGAACACCATGCCTCAAGACCACACAGTCCCCTAAGGGAAGAATTAATCGAGTAACATAAAGTGTATTGATCGGCACTTATAGAAAGAAGTAGAAAGATTGAAGAACACACTAGACAACATAAAAATCAAAAGCTATAGTTACCTTGCCGGGAATTGAACCTGTCTCCCTACGGGAAGAAGAAAAGACCCACTGCCCTAACAGGTATTTCGTACTTGACGACTAATTAGGAGTAGCCTAACATTGATATGTTTGGCCGAAAAGCGCCTATATCGCAACCTAGCTGTACACTACAAACCATTGTGCCAGTCGCCATTACCTGATGAGCTGGGAATAAGAAGACAAAAGAAACACGCTACAAATGGGAGAAAACAAACACTATGTTCTGTGTTGAAACACGTTGAATAAACAAACACTTTAAATTGGTGACTTCCAGTCAGACAAGACCTGCGGGCAACTTTTATTATCAAAGGCCTGAAACTGTCACATGGCGAGCCTGTCGCATGTCTTCATCGTACCCTAGTAACTAAAGACACTCTAGAGTGACTTAATGTTAGATGGTGGCTCGCATTGGTCTAGAAGGACTCTGTAGCTCCAACGACCATCCAACATCACTTCAGGGGTGAGGTTACT